CTCAGGTCGCTTAGAGGAAGAGGAAGTCATTGTTTTATTTTTAATGAATTTTTAAGTTATCAAAAGTATAGGTTTTATCTCAGCCTTTTAATCCTTATGTGCCATTTAGTTTGCTCTTCATTCCTCTTCTCTCCCTGCCTTCTCCCTCACCCCTGCTCCGCTATTGATCACCTTCATGCTCCCATACAGTCTTCAGTCTTCCCTTTGACTTTCATGTCACATGTTTTCCACTAAAACTCTTTTTCCATCATTCCCCCTCTCATGGTTCCCTTTCCCCTTTCATTACACACACACACACACACACACACACACACACACACACAACAGAGATTTAAATTTAGACCCTAAATGTGTGAGTAAATGCTAAATATTTGTTTTTCTGAGTTTACTTTATTTTGCTTAAGATAATTTCCAGTTATATCCATTTCCTGCAAATGCTTTCATCTTTATTTTGTATTATATATATATATATGTGCACATATGCACTAATGCTTGTGTCAGAGAGTGTGTGAAGGTCAGAGGACTGCAGGGAATTAATTTTCTCCTTTCACCATGGGGATCCTGAAGATTGATCTCAGGTTGTCAGGCTTGGTACCATGTGCCTTTACTGAGCCCTTTGCCATATTTTCTTTATTCATTCATGTTTGTGGACCTCTGTGATGGTTCCACTTAACTATTGTGAAAAGTGCAGTACTAATTATAGACTAGCAAATATGTCTGTGGTATATTGACTTCAAGTCCATTGTGTATATACTCAACAGTGGTATAGCTATGCCATATGGTAGTTCTATTTTCATTTCTTTGAATAAATTCCACACTGATGTCCATAAAAGAAATACACCAGTTAACATTCCTACCAGTGGTGTAGAAGACTGAAGCACAATGGTCATCTTGAGGTTAAACTAGAATTCCTGTGAAACAGTAAGAGAAATATAAAAACAGAAACATGCGTCCTGTATCTGTTGTAGATAATATAGTTTATATTAGGAGTGCATTTACAGACTGCAAAAGCAAGATGCTTATATTTATTACCTTTCTATTGTATAAAATACAATGACCAAGGCAACTTATAAAAGAAAGTGTTTAATTTGGCTTATAGATTAAGAGGGTTTGAGTCCATGATAGTGAAGCAAAGGAACAGCTGAGAGCCCACATTCTGGTCTGCAAACATAAGGCCAAAAGTAAGCAGTGGGAATGACACCTCAAAGCCCAACCCCATTGACACACCTCCTCCAATAAGGCCACACCTCCTAATCTTTCCCAAATAGTTCCACCAACTGGAGACCAAAAATTCAAACATATGAGCATATGGGGTCCATTCTTATTCAAACTACCACAGTGATAAAATGTTTATTATAGTAGAAAGACATTCAAATAAGAGAAAGAGCTTCTGTCATAATTTTCATGAGCTTGACACAAAGGCTTCTTTGTGGACCAGACACCTGGCGCCCTCTTTAAATGAGCTGCACACAGGTGTGTGACAATGTACACTGACTTTGCAGATTGTATTCATCTATTGGCACCTCAAATGGACCCACAGATACATATATGCAGAACATCTGACAGATAACCACAAGGAGATTTGTACAAGTAATCAGAGAGTAGTTTTTCAACTATCCATTCACACACATATTCTCTCTCTCTCTCTCTCTCTCTCTCTCTCTCTCTCTCTCTCTCCTCTCTCTCTCTCTCTCTCTCTCTCTCTCTCTCTCTCTCTCTCTCTCTCTCTCTCTCTCTCTCTCTCTCTCTCTCTCTCTCTCTCTCTGCCTTAGCATGTGTATGGAGGTCAGAGGATAGCATTAAGAGTATAAAGGAATCAGTTCTGTCTGTCCATCATGTGGGTCCCAAGGATTGAATTAGATTGTCAGGCTTGTCAAAAATACTTTACCCACTCATTGACCCTGGGTCACATTTTAAAACAACACTAATCTTCATTAGAGTGTCATACAATATACCAGTAATAATGAGAGAATTGTGGTAGATAGGGTATAGATGAAAATCGGAAACACAGTACATGGTTAAAACTGCCAATTACATAATAGCAGCCAGCTAAGCCAGTGAACCTATACTCCACTCTTAGGCATATACCCAAAAGATGCACATTCATACAACAAGAACATTTGTTCCACTATGTTTATAGCAGCACTATTTGTAATAGCCAGAGCCTGGAAGCAACCTAGATGCCCCTCAACTGAAGAGTGGGTAGAAAAAATGTGGTACACTTACACAATGGAGTACTATTCAGCAGGAAAAAAAACAATGGAATCTTGAAATATGCAGGCAAATGGATGGCACTAGAAGAAACCACACTGAGTGAGGTAACCCAGTCACAAAAAGACAAACACGGTTTGTACTCACTCTTACATGGATTTTAGACATTGAGCAGGGGATTGCCAGCCTATAATCCCACACCAGAGAGTCTGGTAAACAGGAAGGACCCTAAGAGAGATATGCATGGTAACCCAGAGAAGGGGAATGAGGCAAGATCTCCTGAGCAGATTGGAAGCATGTGGGGAGGGGAGGGGGAGCCAAGAAAAAGAGAGGGGATGAAGAGGAGGGGATAGGAGGACATGGGGTGCAGGAAGTTTGAGTCAGGGGAAGAATAGAGGAGAGCAGGATGAGAGATACCATAATACAGGGAGTCATTTTAGGTTTCAGGACAGATCTGGCACTAGTGAGATTTCCAGAAATCTACAAGGATGTCACCAACTGGCAAACTAAGCAATAGTGGAGAGACTATCTTAAATGCTCCTCCCTGATAATGAGTTTGACACTACCTTATATGCCATCTTAGAACCTCCATCCAGTGACAGATAGAAGCAGAGGCAGACTCCCACAGCTAAACACTGAACTAAATTCCTGGAACCCAGTGACAGAGAGGGATGAGTGATAAGCAAAGGGGTCAAGACTGGGCTCGTGAAACCCAGAGAAACTGCTGACCTGAACATGTGGGAGATCTTGAAACCCAGACTGATGGCTGAGAGGCCAGCATGCGACTGATCCAGACACCCTGAATGTCAGTGAGAAGACCTAGCAATATATGGGGCCCTGGATAGTAGATCAGTATTTATCCAAGGCACACAAATGGACTTTGGGTGTCCATCCCACAATGAAGGATGCTCTCTCAGCCTGGACACTTCTGGGAGGAACTAGGCCCTGCTCTGAATGAAATGATTCTGGAGATCCCTCCATGGGGAACAGAGTGGGGATTGGGTGGGGTGCTGGGGAGGCTGGGGGTGAAGGGGAAGGGAGGGAGAGGAAGCTGGGATTGACATGTGAAGCAAGCGTGTTTCTAATTTAAATAAAATAAAGTTTCTTGTACAGATTTGTTAAAATTCAGGTTTGAAGCCTACCCCTGACATACTGATTCTCTTAATTTGATGTTCTTTTTTTTTTTTTTTTGGTTTTTCGAGACAGGGTTTCTCTGTGGCTTTGGAGGCTGTCCTGGAACTCGCTCTGTAGACCAAGCTGGCCTCAGAATCACAGAGATCCGCCTGCCTCTACCTCCCGAGTGCTGGGATGTTGGGGAAGTCCTGTGCATTTGTCAATAAAGCACTGTCTGGCCAATAGGCAATCTAGATAGGTGGGACTAGGAGTCCAGGAGAACTCTGGGAAGGAGGAACACAGAGAGTCACGATGTAACGCCACGGGGTAGGAAGCTCGGAACTATTCTCCGGTAAGAGACATACTTAGATTAACAATTATGGGGTAAATACTTAAGTCAGAGGTAGCCAGTAAGAAACAAGCAAGGCCAACAGCTTCATAATTAATATAGCCTCCTGTGTGTTTATTTGGGACTGATGCGGCTCTAGAACCAGGCTGGCGGGAAGACTTCCCTCAAAGAAAAAGCTTCTTTTTACACTGGGATTAAAGGTATGCGCCACCAACGACGTTCTTTTATTATATACGATTGCTGCTTTATATACTGGTGATACATTATGTCCCAGGGAATAATTACATGTTTTAGCACAAAATGTTTTCTTTTTCTTTACAAATATTAGATCCATCAGTTTTTGTGAATCAGATGTAACATTCACTGTTATAAATGAAGGCATAAAAATTAGCAATATCCATGTTTATTCTATAGTTTTAGGAACTGACTTTGTTATACTTGTTGCCATAAAAAACAAGCAAATCTCATCAGCTGTGCTATTTTGATTACAGGTGTCTCTCTGATTTTGCATTAGAAAATTTTCATTGCTAAATTAACCACAGCCATTTTAAACCCATCTTCCATATAAGCAACTCTTGCTTTACTCTCACTCTTGGCTGAGATATGTGTGATTGGTCAAAGGCCAGAATGTGTGTCTCCAAGGAAGCAAGCCTGAAAGCCCTGTGGAAACTGATGGCAACACAATGGTGGGGAGGTAGAATATGTCAAGAAAGAAGCAGAGAGTTTTCCACATCCTGACATTTTAAGACTTGCAAAGGCACTAAAGGGGCAAATAGGCAAAATGCAAGATTTCCCTTTGCTCTCCTATTTGGGAAAAACAAGAGGTCAATTTGTACATCATGGGTCAAGGCTATCGTGCAGCAAAACAGTTTTCTACCCCAAAGCTGTGCCCCAAAGGTGTGAAGCAAAAGCAGAAAGTCAGCAGGACCCAGGAAGCAGGGACTGACTCTTATGAGCAGGAAGGGGGCGTGGTCTGATAGCAGCTGCACAGAAGAGCACTGTGGCCTCATAGTCTGGGAGGACCAAGGGGCATTCTCCTGACATGTGGGTGAGCAGTGGTTCAGTTCTTGCCTCTAGAGCCTGTCTAGATGTGTATAAAGTTGTTTGTGTCAGACAGCAGCTGTTCCCCAAGTGACTGCATATGCTGTATGTTAGTTTTTAAAATATATGCTCAAAGTGAACAATGCTGTATTTTCTCATTATATAAAGAGGTTCAATATGCTAATTTAGCATTATTAGTCCTTGTTATAATAGTCAATATGCAGTAGAAATATTGCCTATGGGTTATTCTAAATAGAGTCATTTTTAAAATGTGTTTGTAATAATGTTTTTTTCCATTCATAAAACTTTTATTCCACTTACATGAACTTTAATACACGTGTTCTTAACAATTATGCTTGGGTTGTTCATGAAGATTTCCTAAGACATTAAAACAAAGCTAGCCGTCATCTCAAGTCATTTCCCTGTTAACTATTTTTACAGCACATGCATGTTAGGCAAGTATCAAAAAGAAAAAAATCACAAAAGCAAAAAACAAAACAAAAAACTAAAAAAAAAAAATTAAATACATGGGGTTTTGTTTACCGCTGTGCTTGACACACATGGAGCAGTGAACACCAAACAAATCATTTTTACTGCATTTTTAACTTTTACATTTGTTCTTAGATCGCCTAAAACATTTAAATACAAATAAAATGTGTAGCAAAAACAATGAAAGCAAACAGCAGGTAACTTTACAAATAATGGAATGTGAACCGTTTCTGCCCTTATCAGAGAAAACTGGGTCACAACTTTGTCTAAGGACCACTTCCGGAGCTGTGGTCAGAGTGCACGCAGAGACACCAGGTCCCAAGGTGTATCCAAGGGACATCTGTTTGTACCACAGCATCACAAGTGCTCCAAACCTTAAAGTACCCGCAACAACTACACTCGTGACTGGAACCAATTATCCGACATGGAAGCAGTTTTAACTCTGGCCCTTCTGAAGCCACAATGTACCAAAGTACTATGCCAAACATGTGTAACTCATGTAAAAATTCCACTTCCCCAGATTGGCCACCTCAAGATGAAAACGAGTAACTCCCTAAAGTTAACTGGCTCTACTCCCCTAATACTAAAACATTAAAACCACATGGGAAATATAGAAATTCAAATAGAAGTAACATAAACCTGTCATAAATCGTAAACAAAAAACTATTTGTGGGACAGCATGGATGACAAATGGTCTACTGTGTAAATTTTAGAGTGAGGCAGACAAAGGCTGGAGGTTAATTTTCCCCTCCTTCTCCTGCTTCCGCTTCGTCTCCTTGGGTATCCGATGTCCACAATGTCAAGTTGTCTCTCAGTAACTGCATTATTAGCGTGCTGTCTTTGTACGACTCTTCACTTAATGTATCAAGTTCAGCAATGGCTTCGTCAAAAGTTGTTTTTGCAAGAGAGCAGGCTTTCTCTGGGGAATTCAGAATCTCATAATAGAACACAGAGAAGTTAAGGGCCAGACCCAGTCTGATAGGATGTGTTGGCTGCATTTCCTTTTTGCTGATTTCAAATGCTTCTTGGTACGCTTGCTGTGACTGCTCCACAATTCCCTTCTTGTTATCACCAGCAGCAACCTCAGCCAGGTAGCGGTAGTAGTCGCCCTTCATCTTCAAATAGAAGACTTTGCTTTCTGCTTGCGAAGCATTGGGGATCAAGAACTTTTCCAAAAGAGACAGGACGTCATTGCAGATGTCTCTCAACTCCGCCTCAATTTTCTCCCTGTACTCCCGAGCCATCTGCTGCTTCTTCTCGGCGCCTTCCGTCTTCTGCTCAATACTTGAGACAACCCTCCAAGATGACCTGCGGGCCCCCACAACGTTCTTGTAGGCGACGGAGAGGAGATTCCGCTCCTCGTTGGACAGCTCGGCTCCTTGCTCGGTCACAGACTTCATGCAGGCTGCCATGTCGTCGTACCGCTCAGTCTGCTCGGCCAGCTTGGCCTTCTGCACCAGCTCATTCTTATCCATAACTGGGAAGTCTGTGTCCGGAGTGGGTGGCGGCGCACAGGGCCCGGCTCGGCAGTGTCCCTGGGCGGCGGTGGCGGCGGCGGCGAGGCTGAGACTCTCTGTAATAATGTTTTTATTTCTGTAATAAAATACCATAACCACAAACAAGTTGAAGAGGAAATTATTTCTTCTTAAATATCCACCACCAAGGGAAAAGAGGACAAGAATTCAATCAGGGCAAGTACCTGGAGGCAGGAACTAAAGCAGAAGCAATGAGGGGTGTCGCTTAATCTCTTGCTCCTCGTGGATTGCTTAGCCTGCTTTCTTGTAGCACCGAGGACTGCCAGAGCAGAAGTGGCACTGCTCACAGTGAGCTGTGTCCTTCAGCATCAGTCACCACTTAAGGCCAATCAGGTGACGGCTTTTTCTATTGAGGTTCCCTCTTCCAAAATGTCTACCTTGCATCAAGTTGATGTAAAACTAGCCAGCAGGGTCTTACTGAATCTACCTCTAAGGTGTGTGTGTGTGTGTGTGTGTGTGTGTGTGTGTGTGTGTGTGTGTGTGTATTCCATTGACTCTAAACCATTGATGTGGATTTCTCCATGTCTTGTTTTCATTTGTTTTGAGGATATGTTGAAGCCAATGACTTGGATTTCCCAAAACCTGTCCAGTACCAGCCACAAAACCCCACTCCAGGCTTACTGACCACAGGAGTCATACTATTTGTATATACCAGTCATGTATTGATTATACTATCTCAAAGCCATAACAATTTAGGAAATTTGGTAATGTATAATGGAAATTTATGGAGGGAAGTATATAGTGTATGTTTGGTACATGCATAACCCAGGTGTATGGAGGTATCATATGCCTATGTGTGGAGGCTGGTGGTGGACATTGTTATTTCCCATTGCTCTTTTCATCTTTCATTTAAGGTAAGGTCTAATCTTTGAATCATAAGCTTGATTCTTCAGCTAAAATGACTGGTAGATAAGCTCCAAGGATTCACCTGTCTCTGCCTCACAATGTTGGGATGACAAGCATGTGTAGACATGGCTGACTTTTTCATGTGATTGTTTAAGATCATGCGTGTACAGTAAACACTGTTACTTACTGAGCCATTTCCTTGGTCCTTGTAAAATGAAAATTTGAAAATAATTTTTCCTGTTGCTTTCCCACTCTCTGTTGAATGTACAAATTTAAATGGAGTATTTTCATTATTCGTGCACATAAGTGTTCTATTAATAGCTTGTTCTTATTTTTATTTGTATGTGGTTGACAACATGTGTTTGCCTAAAACATCATATTGGGGAAATTGCTTTTTTAATCATGTATGCGTGGCCATAGTTAACAAATTAAGGTTGACAGAGAGGAGTCCAGGGTGGAAAACTGGCTTGGTACCTAGCTTGTGGGATTTCGGCAAGCTCACTGTTGATAGGCTGGTAACCATAAAGTTGTTTATAAGCCTTAGGAAGTAAGGACTTCTATAAACGACACAAACCAAGTGGCAATTCTTCACAGAAATAGAAAAAATGGTCTTAAAATTAATCAGGAAGGAGCTGATGAGATTATTCAGTGGTTAAGAGCACTTGTGGCTGTTGAGGAGAACCTGGGTTTGGTTCACAGCACCCGCATGGTGACTCATATCCATTAGTAACTCCACTTCCAGGATACCCTTTTCTGACCTGTGTGGGCACCAGCACACACATGGTACACAAACATACATTCACGTAAAACATCCACACATATAAAATGAAAGAAATAAATAAAATGCCTTAAAATTCATATGGAAGCACAAAAGACTTTGGGTAATCAAACAATCCTGAACAATAAAAATAATGCTGGAGGTACCACCATACCTGATTTCAAGTTATACTACAGAGACAAAGTAGTAAAAAAAGGATGATACTAGCACAAAAACAGAGACACTGATGAACAGACTAGAAACAAAGATCCAGAATATACGAATATATAGTTGAGGTCCATGCACCTACAGACACTGTTTTTTGTTTTTTGTCTTGTTTTGTTTTACAAAGACTGGTGTTGGGAAAACTGTATATCTATATGTAGTAGAAAGAAACTTGATCCTTTTCTTTCACTTTGCACACAAAACTCAAAGTAGGTCAAAGATCTCAATGTTAGACCTGACACTTCTATAGGAGACAGTATATGTCAGGATAGAGACTTCTTTCTGAAAAGGATTCTTCTTACCCAGGAATAAGACTGACAATCAACAATTCATGAAATTGAAAAACATTTGTACTTCAAGGAAGTGGTTAATGAAATGAAGAGGTAGCCTACAGAATAGAATAAAATCTTTGCCAGCAGTGCATCTGACAGTATATACAAAGAACCAAATAAATCAAACAAACAACAATAAAATCCAAACACCAAGAAAACAAGCAGCCTGATTTAAAAAAAATGTGCTGTGGAGACTAGAGAGATGGTTCAATGAACTCTGGATACTTTTCTATTAGATCCCCAGCACCCACAAGAAGGTTTACAAACATCAGTAAGTCCAGGCCCAAGGGATCTGACACCTTCCTCTCGCCTGTGTGGGAAATACATGCACATTGTGCCACAGACATACATGCAGGCAACAAACTCATACATGTAAAATAAAATTAAAAATAAAAGTGGGCTGTGAAAACTGAAAAGTATAAATGGCTAAGAAATATTTTTTCAAATGTTCAACATCATTAGCCATCAGGAAAATGCAAATTAAAACTACTTTGAGAGTTCACCTTACTCCATTTAGATTTGATAAGATAAAAGAAAAGAAATGCTGGTAAGGATGTGTTGAATGGGGAAGCCTTATGCACTACTGATGGAACTGTAAATTGGTGTAGCCACTATGGAAATCAGTGTGGTTGCTCCTAATAAAACTAGAAACATATCTAATATATGACCAGATTATATCACTTCTGTACATATACCCAAAAGACTCTATTAACTAGTACAGAGACGTATGATCATTCATGTTCGTAGTGGCTCTATTCTCAATAGCTAGGGCATGGAAACAACATAAATCTCCATCAACTGATAAATAAATATTGAAAACATTCTGCCTATATACAGCAAAGTTTTATTTAATCCCAGCAGCCAGAAGATAGAACGTAGTGGTACACACCTTTAATCCTAGGACTCAGGATTAAGAGATAGATGGATCTCTGTGAGTCCAAGGTCACCCAGATCTACACAAGAGTGAATCGGGCTAAAAAAGAAATATAGCTCACACCTATAATCTTAGGACTCATGAGAGGTATATAAGTCAGTATCAAGATGAAGTGTGAAGATTCGTTTTCCAGTCACACTGAGGAGATGCAGCAATTTGAGAGCCTTGTGTAGATAAGCCCTTTCAGCCTGAACTAGAGGTAACAGCTAGTGGCTTGGATGCTTTGCTTTTCTGATATTCAGGTTGAAGCTTGAACCCCAATATCCATCTCTGGTTTTTTTATTTATTCCTGTTATATTTTGGAATCCCACATTGAGTACCACATATAAATGGATGTTTCTGTCCCACCCTGGTTCCACAGCCACTTAGTCCCACATAAACACACAGAGGCTTATATTAATTATAAAACTGTTTGACCATTGTCTTAGTTTTCTTACTGGTTACCTCTTTCTTAATTATTAACCCACAACTATTAATCTATTAATTTCCACAAGGTCTTATCTTACCAGAGAATGGTCGGGCATCCTACCTTCCCCGTAGCTACATGGTATCTCTCTGGAGACTCGACTCTTTGCCTTCTTCCTCCCAGAACTCTCTTAGTGTGGTAACTATACCTATACTTCCTGCCTAGCTACATCCTGCCTGTCTATTGGCCAAAACAGCTTTACTCATCAACCAATAAGAGCAATATATATTCACAGCATACAAAAGTACACCCCCCATCATTATATTGAGATAAGTGAGACTCAGACAGACTGATATCATATCTTCTCACTTTCACATGAATCTCAACATTGAATCATTATATATATGTGTTTAACTTATAGTACCTGTAGAATCCCAGAAACTAGAAAGGGATCGATGATAGAGAGGGTGAAGAAAGATCTTAAGGAAAAGGAAAAGTGAAACAGTGGGAAGGGAGGTTTAAATAGGAAGAAGGATAGGGTGGTAGAGCCAAATAATTGATTAAAGGAGGAATAGTTAATATTGTAGGTGTTTGAAAAAGTCATATGGAAAGCTACTATTTGTAAGGTTCATGTGTATAGAGTTATGTGGGTGCATTCATGAGTGTGTGTGTGTGTGTGTGTGCATGCGTGTGTGTGTGTGTGTGTATGTGTTAATATAAAATAGTTTAACTGGAGTTACCCTATCCAGAATATTGTGTTCAATCCAGAAGGCATTGGTTGCCAAATAAAAGACCAGCACCATGTGTGAGATAATTCCTTTTGAGTTTTTAGTCTGAAGTGTCCAAGAGACCTCCCTAAAAAACACAGGTCATTGACAGCATGTGGGAACACATGGGTGATTGGGGGATGCCCTTCTGTATATAATTTTCTCTCATTAGTTGATAAATAAAACATGGTTTGGCGAATACAGGCAGAAAGATAGGCAGTGCTAGAAGACAAGGAGAATTCTGGGAAAGGTAGGCAGAGAAGTGTGGGAAAGAGGTGCCATGTGGAGACTAGGAGGATAGGATGCACCAGGTATTCTCTGGTAAGATAAGGCCATGAAGAAATACATAGATTAATAGTTATGAATTAATAGTTAAGACAGAGCTAGCCAATAGGAAGCCCTAGCCACCGGCCAACAGGTTTATAATTAATGTGCTCGTGTGTTTATTTTGGGCTGAGAAGGGTGGCAGGGCCTGGCAGGACAAAAAAACTACAGCAACACATGGGTATATATATTCTGGTCAAATTCACCACCTACACTCTCTTGTCTACTTCAACACCCTCCCTCCTTCCAGTAAACGCTCCTATCACTGTAAAGTCTCTTTGCTTTCTTTTTCTTTTGTTAACAACTGAGTTGAACAGGGGCTACCTACATAGGGATGGATGTAGAGATAGTCACTGAGGTGTGGGAGATGCATCAGTGGCTTTATCACTGAAGATAATGATGCCCCTTCCCCTAGCAGCCATAAATTAATTTCCAGTATCTGTCAGGGAGAGAAGTGGCTCCATGAGTCCCTCACACATCTGTGACTTAATGTTGGAAGCTCCATGCAAGCAAACACACCTGATGTGAGACCATAAGTACAATAGCCATGACACAACTAAAGACAGCATCTTGTGAATCTCCTCACTATTGTCTCTTAACTGCTTACTCATAACTCTAGCAACTCAATAACAATTTAACTAGGGTATTATTTAAAAAAACTCCAATGGATTTACACGACTTGTTCTTGCAGAAAAAAGACCAAGGTTTCATTCCCAGCATCAACCAGTAGGCTAACAAACATGCATAACTCCACTTCCAGGGGAATCTGAGGTCATTTCAGACTTCTTTGGATACCAGGTGACTACATGGTACACAGACACTTACACAGGCCAAATATTCCCACACATACAATAAAATGAATAGTCCTAAGGAGGAAAACAAAGAAAGAAAAAAAATGAAAATCAACAGGGGAATAAGCTGTAATTTCCAAAGCTGTCCTGAAGAAAGGAATTTACCAGACACAAAGGAAAAGCTGTGCCATCTGCAATAAGCCTGCGGGGATCAAACATCACACACACACACACACACACACACACACACACACACACACACACACACCCCACACACACACACCCACACACACACCCACACACACACACACACACATACACACATACACATACACACATACACAGACACACACACACACACACACAGACACACACACACACACACACACACACACACACACACACACACACGGCTCATGAACAGCCAAACAGTAGGGAGGGCTCTTCAGAGAAAGAGTGAAGCCCACAGTGTTGGGGAAGCAGGGAGAGTTACTGAAACCACACCCAGAACAGAGAAGTTAAGTGGGCAGATTGAAGAGCCTGCAAGATTGCAGCTCTCAGGGAGACTCCTAGAGGTGCAGGGCTTATGGGAAGGGAAGACACATTGTCTCAAGAGAGGATCAGCATTGTCCCTTTTGTCTTTCAGCATGGCTGAGCAGGAAGGATCCCAGTTTTTGAGAAGGGGTCCTTTTGCCTCCTGGTTTGCTGACCAAGTGCATAAACACTAAACTAGGGAGAGAGCAGCATGTCATTTCATCGTTTTGGAAGGGAGGCAACAACATTCCACTAAAGAGACCTCAAATCTACTGTATGGGAACCATCCAAAGGCTGATTTATGGGAAAGGGAAACTTCTTACACTGGCAGAAATAGAGGCTTCATGTTGACTAGTTGATAAAGCAGGGGGAGTCAGACAGCATTTGTGATTGCCGGAGATGAAAGGCAGAAATCTTAGTGGTGGAGATTGTTTTTAAAGACCTAAGAATTCAGGGATGGAGTCATGAAACAGGGATTTCTTGAGAAGATGGAACTGGACACAAGGAATGTCACAGAATAGAGGGCATATTCCGATTAGCTTAAAGGCAAGTTAGGTATACAAGTCAGAAGCCCAAGATACACCTGCCTTCCTTCCACACCTCACCAAAATATTCAGCCTTACCTCCCGGAACCTTCTATGCCTAGCATCAGAGTCCTTATTTAAGACTCAGGCATAGAGGGTTCCTGAGAAAGAGGGCATGGAGAAAATCTTCTGCCACTCTTACCCTCAAAAAGATGTTAATCTCCAAGGTGAGGTCCAGGGCTTCTGCAGGAACTGAGAAAAATCACAGACACGAAAGGAGCATCTGGGTTTGGAGCACAAGACTTGAAAAGAAATGGTGGCTGAGGAGCAGGGAGAGGAGGACCAGGGAAAGATGGAGAACATGTCCTTGATTCAGGACAGGTTCCCAATCACAGCTTTCCACTGGGTGCATAGACCCTGCCTGTGTATGCAGTCTGCAAATCTGAAGCTGCTGATTCCACCTCCTCTGGACACTGGAAAAGGAGCAGGACCCATGGTTGAATCCCTGCAAGTCTGGGCACAGCAGCAGTATTGGAAAAACATGGTTACATATGGGACAGATTTTCCTTTCTTCTCAATACTGCTCAGGTCTGTGTGATGGCTCAAGGAGGAAGGAAAGTGACTGAATGTGATATGGTGGGGGGAAATGATTTGGAGAATGTTCTTACAAGGGTTGAAGTGAAGGGATATCTTCACAAAAGACCCAGAAAGAGGTAGACATGCAGGCACTCACCAGCTCAGAGCACCACAAATCTGACACCTACCAGGGAGTCCTAGGACAGCTGATGAAATTGAATTACTCCAAAGTGCCTTGGTCCTTCCATCCACCTGAGATGACATGGCATTGATGCCTCAAAGCTTTGACGATGAACAACAGACCGGATATTGTTATCCTATTTAATGGATAAGGATGTGGGAAGGGAAGTTACTTACTCATAGTATCCCCATGTTCTATTCACACCTTCCATCTGGTGGATGTCACAGCACACTGGATTCTTCTTTCCCTGCTCCTGCTTCTGGGGTGCAGACATGAGATCCTTTGATTTCATGCTAGAGGGTAGCATAAGGGAAAGAATACACATGAGATAGAGGAAACCAGGATGAGACAGCACATAAGACAGGACATGAAGGATGGTGGCATGCATGTGCAGACTACATCCGAGGAAGTTATGAAATGATGCTTTTCCTCTTCCCAGTTCATCACACCGCCCTGAACACACACAGTGATGCCTATGAATGCATAGATAGTATGGAAATGTGAGCCTGCTCACTTCCCCTTACCTGAAAATGTGCATTCCCTCGGTGTGTATGTACTCAAGTCATGACTGTCATGCCAGGGCCATCACAATGACAGAATGAAAGAGGAAAGGGGATTTTGCCGTACAGGACACACGCAATACACCTTTTTGTTTCCTGTCTCTTCAAGGCCTGAATATGACCCTTGGATGTGAGCATCATTATTTGCTTTCTATACAAGCTCTCAGAGAGTACAAAGTTTACACTCAGGAAATTCTCCAAAGGAACCAGATGAACATGGATGACCCTGTAAATGTATTCCTCTGGCCAATACAGGGACAAAGTGAGCATCAAATAGAGAAGGACAATATGAGACGATAATAGGAATGGGCATTCTGAGTCATAGTGATATAAATCAGTACACAGACATGTAACAATGGAGTATTAATACGCAAAGTTTAAAGTCAAGATCAACATTGGAGAAACAGTAGTAGAATTATACCACTTAAAAGCTGTCATAGCAATAAGTGATGCAACTCACTTTCACTAACATATTAGTCTCTACCAAATTCCACAGAAGTCATTTACGGCCTGAGGTAACAATGCTGGCTAAGCAAGGCAGGGCAGAGAAAAGCACAACATCAAACTTGTTCCTCATCTGTGCTTGAATGTATGAATGACATGAGCGCCTCATTTGACCCTCGGTGGGAGACAACTTCCATGTGCCTGACAACTTCAGATACACGTTTGGACACGCATCAGCATACACAGAATACACACTTACAGATGTAAATAAAAAACACAGCTCTCCTCTCAAAGAAGGAAGGCAGTGTTTAGTCTGGGGTCAAATATCAATGACAAAGTATGAGTGAGACAGATTTAGGTTAGTACAAATTCCATGTTACAATGTGGGAGCTGTCATATGAAACTAATCGATAATGACAGCAAGGAGACCACTATGAATGCAGACATGCTTTACATACATTTGTGGAAATAATAAGTAGGCTGTTAGGAAAATTAGAAGAACCACAGCTACAGGTTTTAGCTGCTATGTGATGACATTCAGTCCATTGACTGGTAGAATATTAACAACTTCTTTTATGGTGCTATGTTCTGATTTAAAAAACAAATCTGTCCAGATGTCCGGTCCGACTTCACGAGTTAGTGACAAGATATGAGGTAATTCAAACAAAGACAGACTAAGGAATTGTTACTCATGGGCTACAGTGAGCACAAACTGTAATTAGGCTCTGGGCCTCCAACCTTCCTTCCATGGTCTCCTCATCACTCAAGTCCTATCCATCAATCCATCAGTCTCTGCAGACCCAACATCTGTCTAGGAATTCCTGTTCAACAGACACAACACTTCTCACTCTCATGATCCTAGCTGGATGCTACCCATTATAGTGTTTACAGAGAATCCAAGAGGTGAAATCACATCTCTCAACAGATGCATCCCTACTCACACACAGGAGGCTGAAAGCGACTGAATATGTTATTTCAGGGTGGTTCCTGTGAAGATGGCCCTTGGACTTTTCTCTGGGACATTCCTCTGAACTGACTGTCGATGACATGAAATGGCTGATATGGAACCGTGGGCAAACTGCATCAAGGATCAAGTAAAACCTCCATTATGGAGGAATCCATGCTTTCAAACAAAAACATCTTTCCTAAGTACAACAGACAATTGATGACTGACAGGTCTCAGAAAATTTAATAGTTAACTTACAAAATGGAACAATAATTAGGAACTCTAGTTTAAAAATAACACCAGGTATAGTTGAATCAAAAAGTGCAAAAACCTAATGAATTGTCCTGTCATACAGATCTACAGCACCTATAGATTGAAACATGGCACACATTGCTGAATGGAAGGCAGACTACATGAATGAAGGAAATATTATGTTCATTTGTCAAACATCTAATTATTGGTGTGATGTTTATTGATTCAAAACTGATGTGCAGATTCCATGAAAAGCAATAAGATTACACTATGTTTTTCATTAGGTGGGAAATTCTAGCCTCTGAAGATCAACGCATTCATTGTATAGGGAATCTTAGAAACAGAAAGAGGTAGAGAATGGCGTTGCCTGACAGGAGATCCGTACATGAAACTGCAGTGGTTGGGCCATCCTGCTCTTGGCAAGTAAAGACCCAAATCAACATTCCAGGTTTACACCGACACATTTGTAAACCACTGCCTCGCCAACATCTTTCTGTGTATCCCATGCTCCATCAACTTGTATGTAGTCTGTGCTGAGAAGGACTGAAAATACTCCCCCTGCATCCTCCCAGGCACTGGGATCATTGATATATGTGCCATGCCTGCATTGCTGGAGAACTGACGCTTGACAAATGGGTAAAGGCAATTTGGTGTAGAAAGGATGCTCTTTAAGCAAACTGTGCGGAGGCAAGGGTATATCCACATCCACAAATATAATTAGGACCTACATCCTATCGAGTGCAAACACAATCAAAATTTGAAAGACAAAAAGGGAGAGTATGAGACACCCTGGAGCTGGAATTCCAGGCATATGTGAACTTCCCGATACACTAGAAGTGAACCAAACTTGTGTCCTCGGCAAGAACACTTGTGATATTAACTGCTCAACCATTGTTCCAGAGTTGAGTAAAAGAACTTAAGTGGGAATTTCATGTTGAAGAAATCACCAAATTCTGTCCTATTTTCTGCCATTTTAGGCCCAAGGGACTCAAGCTTTCTTTACATTGGCACCTGAAGTTATTCAAACAGATTGGACATAATTAGATCCTTCAACGCATGTTTTAGTTTTCCCTATGGAACTTTAGATTAAAACTAATAGTTGCATAGTGAATGAACTGAAATGAATACTTCCAGGTAAGTAAAATCAGAAGAAAATTGGGAGTATAGTCAATAGGCTTCAGAGGTTTTTAACAGGAAAGACTGAATTGGGTAAATCATGGATATTACAAATTACAGAATGAATACTTGGCTTTCTAGGGTGATGCTGTCATATGGAGTAGCAGGATGAATTCCTAAAATAAACAGACATTTGCAAGGCTTGCCTCTCAAAAAAAGTAAGAGTATAAATGAGCCTATAAATGTCAAAGAGAACACACAGAAGAAAATCCATGTCAATATGCCTAGGTGAAGATTTCCCAGAAAAGACATCAAATAAAAAGCATAAATGGAATAGGGAAATCTCCTGGAATCCACGAGAAAGACCACAACTAAGAAACTAAGCAAGCTGGTTGTTGGTGGCACGAGCCTTTAGTCTCAGCATGCCAGGGGCAGATGTAGGCAGATCTCTGTGAGTTTGAGGCCAGCCTGCTATACCAGGCTCCGAGAAACGTCTCAAAAAACAAAGTAAAAGCTCCCTTCAATTCCTTCCCATATAATGCTATTGCTGACTAAAATGTGATTGCTGACTACCTTAAGTGCCAGTAGCTGATGGTAGCAGAAGCAGAGTCCACAGCTAAGCACTGAGCCGAACTCCTGGCATCCAGTTGTAAGGAGGAAAGCAGTAGCAGAGAGGGAGGAGGGAGGAACAAGGACCAGGCTGGGGAAAACCAGACAAACAGATGACCTGAGCAAGTGGGAGCTCATGGACCCGACTCTGACAGCAGGGGAACCAGCATAAGAACGAACTAGGCCCCCTGAAGAATTGGGGACTTGGAACATTCTATGGGGCTCCTGGCAGTAGAAGCAGTATTTATCTGTGATGTAGTAGGAATGGAATTTGGGAGCCTATTACACATAGAGGGGATAGGCTATCAGCATAGACACATGGGTCGTGGAGGTTCTGCCTGAAATGATTTGACAGATTTGGAGGATGACCCATTGGGAGGATGGGAGGAGAGGGAACTGGAGCTGGAATGTAAAATGAGATTGCTTTTAATTTAAGGAAAATTCAATTAAAAATAAAACCATAACTGAACAACCCGAGAATGCTGAATACTTACAATTTAAAATCCACCTGAGATGAGAGGTAGGACACACAGAAGCACTGCCCCTGAACCAAACTGAATCGCAAACCACTGGGAAGGAAAAGTAATCCGCTCAGCAACTGCATATTTGAATAGTCACCTTAGGGTGATCACTGATTACACTTTAGCGTTTCCTTTTAGTGCCCCTCAGATCCTCTGGGTGAGCGGCGCCACCCCCTTTGCACAGAGCAGCAAGCTGGGATCTGAGGGAGCTCCCTCTCCCAGAACACTCCTCCTATGGCTCCAGCACCCCCAGGTACAGACAGAACAGCACACTGAGCAGGCAGCATGCTCCCAAGCCCCTCTCCTCCTGGAGACATGCTGGCTGCAAACCCCGAAGCGGCTGTGAACCTGTCGGGTGTGCGATCCCTGCACCTGCCTCCCCACCCTCAGGAAGATTCAGCTACTCACCTCCTCCCGGAACCCAGATGCTCACTCAGTCCAAACACCAGGATGCTCCTTTCAGAACACAGCCTGGGCGGCCATTGCAAGCGGTCGCCATAATGACCCCAGGTTTCTATGACAACCACAAGTGCTTCCTGCTTTCAGTGACCAGGAATGGCTCCGCCCAGCCCTCCCTCCCTCCCTGCCCCTCACAGCAAGAAGAGCTCTTCACCCTTCTCATAAGTCTAGAAAGCACTCCCATTAGACACACTGCCCCCAGCACGACAGCAGAGCTTCCCTTATTGGTTAGACCCGTGCAGAGGGCATATCCCTGGAGCGAAGACCACATTCTACTCACCAGACCACGGAGGTCACAGTCAGCGATGAACAGTGTTGTCCAGTGACAGATGAGCAACTGCATCCACTAGTCAGCTATGCCACCTCGGCCTCACAGCACAAAGTTAACCTCTGGGACACCTCGTGCTAATAGGTCCTGAAAATGAAACGCCAAATTCTAAAAGTAAAACCTTAGAGTTGCCGGGCCTCGAACCCGGGACCTCGTACATACTCAACATAACCACTTCAAACTGGGCTACTTCCCCACATTTGAAAGCAACCTGATCAATCTTAAATGAATTCACAGACACTCAACCTGCACTCATAGGTCCTGCGAGGTACTATGTCAAGTCTTTCGACTATATTTTTATGGTTTCCAGTTAATTATTTCAATTAAATTTTATGACATGTATTGCATGAGTGAACAGTTGTTTTTAATCAAACGGAAATAATCATATTATTAATAAATTAACATTCTTCCAATCATGGCATGCTAGCAATTAATACTAATCGCGATACTTCCAGCCCATCCATTTTCATTATAATTTAGGCTGTAGTATGATTTCAACTGCACATTATCATGGGGATTCAATAATTTTGTGTTGCTGACTAGCAATATGAGTACTTTCCAGAAACCTTCCTAATCATACCTCTATTCTCTTTTACAATATGCCTTTGCTTTCAAGGTATCAAAAACTTTTTTTGTCTAATATGGGGCAGGCTAGTCATGTTGTCTCATAACTTTCCTAAACCATTTATCATTTAATTTATTGCAACAACTTAAATTGAGCTAACTATTTGTAAACTTCTAATGTGCTGTCAACATCTGTATATGGTTATGTATCTCATCAACTTCATTCTGAAAATTTCAGAAATGCTTCTGAAAGTGAGTTTTTAGTACAGTATGTCCCCTTCATCACATGTCGTCATGCATGTGTCTCATCATGAAACATCATTAAAGAAGTACTTTGTATATGTTGAGAAGAGTGAAAAGGTAATAAATATAAGCAGAGAGAAGCCACAGTATAAGAGAGCTCAGCGCTCCATTCCTTGCTCTCACAAAAAAACTCTTCCCCTCTTGTTATCAAACTACAAAGCGCACCCATCGAAGAGTCATCAGGACGAATGCAGAGCTTTGCTTTTTTGTTATATTCATGAACCAAACACAGCCCTGGAGTCATGACCACATTGTACTCACCAGAGCATGGCAGTCTCCATGGAAATGTCCTCACAGTCAGAGATGAACACTGTGGAGGGGTGACAGATGAGCAACTTAACGCACTAATTAGCGATGCAAATAGGATCACATAACAGGAAGTTAAAGTCTGAGACACCTCCAAGGTAAAAAAAAATAAGCACTTTGGAGATGCCGGGGATCAAACCCGAGACCTCATACATGCAAAGCATGTGCTCTACCAATGAGCTACATCCCCACATGGCTGAACCACCTGATCAGAGCATATATGAATGCAGATGGACTAATCCCACTTTCATAGGCCTTGAAAGGAATACCATCTGATCCTTTGACTATTTTTTACCGCCTCCCATTAGCTGCTTTAATCTCATTTTCATGACATTACTGGATGACAAAACAATTTGTGTTCAGAGGAAAATATTCAAAATAATAATACAATTTATATTCTTCAAAACAAGGTAAGATAACAATTAATACTACTTGGAATTATTCAGGCAGATCCATTTTAATTCCAATTCAGGCGTTAGGATTAGTTCAACTGGATAGTATCATGGGGAATTAATAACTATATGTTGCTGACTAGCAATATGCTATCATATTTCAGAGCATAGGCAGTTTCCAACAACTTTCCTGATCATACATCTATACACTTTTCTAAAATGCCTTAGCTTTCAGGGCTTCAAAAACATTTGGGTTTTTTTTTTTGTTCGCTCTTTATTTTTTTTTTCTAAATTGGGCTGGCTACACATCTTGTTTCATAATTTTGCCATGCAACATTTTTCACTTTATTTGTTGAACCACCTGAAAATGAGCTTTCCACTTGTTCATAAAATCCTCATGTGCTGTCAACTTCGCTATGTTTATGTATCTCACCATCTGCATTGGAAGCTTCTGAAAGTGAGAGTTTCATTACAATGTGCCACCTTCTTCACAAGACATTGTGTACATGTATCAACACAAAAACTCCTTAAGGAAATACTTTATTTAACTTCAGAAGAGTGAAAAAGTCACACATATAACGAGAAAAGATGCCAGAGTATAGAACGCTGGGTCTACAATTGAGGACATTGCTCAACCTCAACAATTACTGGGATACTAAGAGGAATGCTATCAAAAGAAGACTTTAACTTAGAATTCCTAGATAAAGACAAGGAGTAAGAGGAAACAGGGTAAGGTAGCACGGGACAAGGGGAGGGGCCTAAGTAAAATGAAGACAAAAGCAACAAGAGAGGCCAGGAGGGAAGGAACCAAAACTCAAATGAGGACAAGGGGAGGAGGAGTAACATTTCTTTGTTGACAGTGGACTAGCTTTGAGGCATTGTTGGATAAACACTGATTTGACACAGGACCTCGCAGGACCTATGAGTGCAGGTTGAGTGTCTGTGAATTCATTTAAGATTGATCAGGTTGCTTTCAAATGTGGGGAAGTAGCCCAGTTTGAAGTGGTTATGTTGAGTATGTACGAGGTCCCGGGTTCGAGGCCCGGCAACTCTAAGGTTTTACTTTTAGAATTTGGCGTTTCATTTTCAGGACCTATTAGCACGAGGTGTCCCAGAGGTTAACTTTGTGCTGTGAGGCCGAGGTGGCATAGCTGACTAGTGGATGCAGTTGCTCATCTGTCACTGGACAACACTGTTCATCGCTGACTGTGACCTCCGTGGTCTGGTGAGTAGAATGTGGTCTTCGCTCCAGGGATATGCCCTCTGCACGGGTCTAACCAATAAGGGAAGCTCTGCTGTCGTGCTGGGGGCAGTGTGTCTAATGGGAGTGCTTTCTAGACTTATGAGAAGGGTGAAGAGCTCTTCTTGCTGTGAGGGGCAGGGAGGGAGGGAGGGCTGGGCGGAGCCATTCCTGGTCACTGAAAGCAGGAAGCACTTGTGGTTGTCATAGAAACCTGGGGTCATTATGGCGACCGCTTGCAATGGCCGCCCAGGCTGTGTTCTGAAAGGAGCATCCTGGTGTTTGGACTGAGTGAGCATCTGGGTTCCGGGAGGAGGTGAGTAGCTGAATCTTCCTGAGGGTGGGGAGGCAGGTGCAGGGATCGCACACCCGACAGGTTCACAGCCGCTTCGGGGTTTGCAGCCAGCATGTCTCCAGGAGGAGAGGGGCTTGGGAGCATGCTGCCTGCTCAGTGTGCTGTTCTGTCTGTACCTGGGGGTGCTGGAGCCATAGGAGGAGTGTTCTGGGAGAGGGAGCTCCCTCAGATCCCAGCTTGCTGCTCTGTGCAAAGGGGATGGCGCCGCTCACCCAGAGGATCTGAGGGGCACTAAAAGGAAACGCTAAAGTGTAATCAGTGATCACCCTAAGGTGACTATTCAAATATGCAGTTGCTGAGCGGATTACTTTTCCTTCCCAGTGGTTTGCGATTCAGTTTGGTTCAGAGGCAGTGCTTCTGTGTGTCCTACCTCTCATCTCAGGTGGATGGAAGGACCAAGGCACTTTGGAGTAATTCAATTTCATCAGCTCTCCCAGGACTCCCTGGTAGGTGTTAGATTAGTAGTGCTTAGATATGGTGGGTGCCTGCATGTCTACCTCTTTCTGGGTCTTTTGTGAAGATATCCCTTCACTTCAACCCTTGTAAGAACATTCTCCAAATCATTTCCCCACACCATATCACATTCAGTCACTTTCCTTCCTCCTTGAGCCATCACACAGACCTGAGCAGTATTGAGAAGAAAGGAAAATCTGTCCCATATTTAACCATGTTTTTCCAATACTGCTGCTGTGCCCAGACTTGCAGGGATTCAACCATGGGTCCTGCTCCTTTTCTAGTGTCCAGAGGAGGTGGGATCAGCAGCTTCAGATTTGCAGACTGCATACACAGGCAGGGTCTGTGCACCCAGTGGAAAGCTGTGACTGGGAACCTGTCCTGGATCAAGGACATGTTCTCCATCTTTCCCTGGTCCTCCTCTCTCTGCTCCTCAGCCACCATTTCTTTTCAAGTCTTGTGCTCCAAACCCAGATGCTCCTTTCGTGTCTGTGGTTTTTCTCAGTTCTGGCAGAAGCCCTGGACCTCACCTTGGAGATTAACATCCATCTTTTTGAGGTTAAGAGTGGCAGAAGATTTTCTCCATGCCCTCTCTCTCAGGGATCCTCTATGCCTGAATCTGAGATAAAGTCTCTGAAGCAGGCCATAGAAGGTTCAGGGAGGCATGGATGGATATTTTGGTGACGTGGGGAAGGCAGGCAGGTGTATCTTGTGGTTCTCACTTCTCTATCTAACTTGCTTTTAAATGCATCAGAATATGCCCTCTATTCTGTGACATGCCTTGGGTCCAGTTCAGTCTTCTCAACAAATTCCTGTTTCATGACTCCATGTTTGAATTGTTAGGTCTTTAAAAAGTATCTCCACCACAAAGATTTTTGGCTTGCATCTCTGGCAGTCACAAATGCTGTCTGACTCACTCTGCTTTATCAACTTGTGAAAAAGTAGCCTCTGTTTGTGATTAAGTGGGTAGCTTCCCCTGCCCATAAATAAGCCTATGGATGGTTCCCTTAGAGTAGCCTTCTAGTCTCTTTAGTGGAATGTTGTTGCCTCCCTTCCAAAACGATGAAATGACATGCTGCTCTCTCCCTAGTTTAGTGTTTATGCACTTGGTCAGCAAACCAGGAGGCAAAAGGACCCCTTCTCAAAAACTGGGATCCTTCCTGCTCAGCCATGCTGAAAGACAAAAGGGACAATGCTGATCCTCTCTTGAGACAATGTGTCTTCCCTTCCCATAAGCCCTGCACCTCTAGGAGTCTCCCTGAGAGCTGCAATCTTGCAGGCTCTTCAATCTGCCCACTTAACTTCTCTGTTCTGGGTGTGGTTTCAGTAACTCTCCCTGCTTCCCCAACACTGTGGGCTTCACTCTTTCTCTGAAGAGCCCTCCCTACTGTTTGGCTGTTCATGAGCCGTGTGTGTGTGTGTGTGTGTGTGTGTGTGTGTGTGTGTGTGTGTGTGTGTGTGTGATCCCTGCAGACTTATAGCAAATGGTACATATTCCCTCTTTGTCTGCCACATTGTTTTGCACAGGACACCTGCAGAGTTTTGCAGCTTATCAGCACTAATGATTTGCAGGTTTTTCTTCCATTGTTTTCCTCCTTAGGAGTACTTACTTTATTGTATGTGTGGAAGTATTTGGCCTGTGTACCGTGTGGGCACCTGGTATCCACAGAAGTCAGAAATGGCAGAATTGGCCCCAGATTCTCTGGAACTGGAGTTATTCAATGTTGTGGGCCTCTCGGAACCCTTCTGGGAAGGCAATCTGGTCTTCAAGAACACCTGCTCTAAAGGCATGAGCAGTGTCATCCAGAGACTAGAGAGATGGCGCAGCTCTTAGGAGCCCTTGTTCTTGCAGAAGGCCCTTGGTCAGTTCTCAGCACCCTTGTGGAATATCAGTTCCTGGAAATCTGATACCCTCTTCTGAACTATTCCAACACCAGGAACACAAGGTCTGTACATGCATGCATGCGGGCAAAATGCCCATAGATGCAAAAGACCATAAATCACTGAATGTTTTTTTCATTGTCATCAAATGGCTTTTGATTCTTTTTATAGTGCTTTCTTAATGAGAGTAAGAGCCTGAGGAAGTCATACTGATTTTTCTGGTATCAATATGTCATTTATTATTGTTGTCGTTGTTGTTTTGTTTCTTGAGACAGGGATTCTCTGTGATACAGCCTTGTCTGTCCTGGAAATCCTGATGGCCTTGACCTCACAGAGGCCTGCTCACCTCTACCTCCCAAGTGCTGGGTTTATAGTCATGAACCACAATTCTAGGCTTTCAGACACCTTAAAATGTACAATAAGTGTGAGATGAACTGTGGCAGAGCCCAGTCGGCCCTTTGTGTGTGTGTGTGTGTGTGTGTGTGTGTGTGTGTGTGTGTGTGTGTGTGAAACAAAGCGGCAGGCAAGGAAAAGGCTACACACTACAAATGCTTGTCAGGAGTGAAATTGAATTTCCATGTAGAACGACAAGAGCTCAAAAGGAATTTCAGAAACAAAAGGCCAGAGAGAAGCACAGCTTCTTGGTAGCAGCATTTTTCTCAGGTGGGCTCTGTTTTGCTTAAGACAAGCAGAGACTCACGTGGCTTGCTTAAGGGAGTCTTCCTGACTCCGCATATCAAAGAAAAATAAAAACAAAAAACAAAATCCATCAAGGTTCTTTTAAGAGGCTCTGCTAACAATTGAATGTTGTGCATGATCATCTTGCAGGGGCAATGACCACATCTCCAAGCGGGCACCATGTTGCTGGATGTCAGCATAGACTGAGGCAATGGGCTGGAGTCACACTTATGCCCGCCATGTTGGAAAGCCAGCAGCTGTTTCTGCTTTAATTTTAGCAATGGTCTTTAGCCTTTATAAGACACGTGGCCAGAAAAGCAAAGCTTTACAGTAAAGTGAGATCCAGATGAAGAAAAATATAGGTAGACTTGGGAGAGTAAATGAAACAAGATGTTGGAAAAAATAAAAATAAAGTAGTTGGGTGTGGTGGCACATGCCTTTACTCCGGGACTGGGGAGGACAAAATAACAAAGAGAATATCTGGATGTAGTGGCACTCGCCTTTAATCCCAGCACCCCAAAGGCAGAGGCAGGTAGATTTCTGAAGAGATACCCTGTCTCAGACAAAAAAAATAACTAAAGTAAAACAAATAGAGTAATATAAGCTACGTAAAGATGGGCAATACACAGAAAGTCTGGATACTGTATACTATTGTGTTTTTCAGCTGTTCAGTTGCTAAGGAAGGATCAGTTGCTGAAATATACTTGATTATAAAGGCTGCTGAATTAATCCCACTTATACATTTCAAAGGTGCTTTGACTTCTAACTTTAAATATAAGGACCAGTTACTTGGGAAAAGAGTTTTTGATTATGTTTCTACAGAAAGTGGAAAGCTGTGGATTCCTTCCAGGCTTCTGTGATTTGATGAATCAAGATCCCCGGAAGCAGTGGGCCAGGTGTTCCAACATCTAAGACAGCTGAGATGACACAGCCTTACAGACCACAAAATCAAAGACTCATACAGGTTTCTGTGTTTTCTCATGATCCCGAAGGTATGAACAGCACCCCATCCAGCAGGACGCAATTTGGAAGGAGCTACATCCAAATTCCCATATTGTTTATAAATGTTTGTTTTCATTTGAATGGCATTGCTCATAATTGGTTAATGATCAAAACCAATCTCTTTTTAATGGTAAAAGGGGGAATATGGTATGGAATGAATACTTGGCATGGGTATAGTTTTTCATTTATTGATACAAAATCAAGGTCAATTTTGTGATATGTATATTTCTCCTCTAGATCATGTATTGCGTTTATACTAATCTTTTAAAACTTAATGCATAATTAAGTACAGATTATAGATAGTTACTTATAATAGTCAAACTTACAGTTAGGTTAGTTAGGTTTTCTAGATATACAGAAATATATTTAAGATAGATAGATAGTCTTCAAACCTTTCAAAGACCTTCAGAAAATGGCATTTATAACGCTTTAGGGTTTTTCTTGACAATGAGAAATGTCTGCTAATGGCAACACCAATTATGTCTGAGAGGGAAGATGGGCATCGAAGAAACTTCTTATGGAGTTTGCTTTCAACATGGCAAGATGAGTCATTTGGGCAAGAAACCGCTCTTGCCTGGACTCCTTGACTTTTGCTGTATAAACCGGACATGTAGGACCCACAGGAAAGTGACTGCTGAACTCAAACAGTCCTTCAGGGTTCCTGCTGCATGGAAGAGAGTCTATGAGACTTTCTGCAAGACACAGAAAAATGAATGACAGACTGCCAATGCAGATGGACAGTTTGAAATTTCCTGCTTTGCTGAGAAATCTTCCAGACATACTGTGGCCTATGGGCTGAAGATGGATGCCCCAACATTACAGAGGAAATTCAGGTAACTGCCCAGGCAGCAAGATGTCTCTGTCAATCCTAGTGTTTATATATTATCCTTCTGTGGTCTTTGATGGAGTTGAAGGCAGATAGTTACAATCATAGTTTTCCTTATTTATGATAAAAGATGAGCTACATATAAGACTTTAGGCTCACAAAGATAGGATAGATGATACTTTCTTTATATCGTACTAAATGTTAATGGACAAAATATTGTAAATATGATCTTAATTGATAGCTATTCTGTTGTATATAATTTAACGATGCTAAAGTTAAAACCTTTCTTTTTATTTAGACAGAAAAGAGGAGATGATGGGAGATGTCATTATGTAAATCTGTCTCTTATCGGTGGTTGAATAAAGCACTGTTGGCTAATAGGGAAGCAAGATAGGTGGGACTAGGAGTCAAGAAGGATTCTGGGATAGAGAGGTAGAGTCAGACTACCATGTAGCCGCCATAGTAAGTAAGGTTCAGACCCTTTTCTCCAGTAAGAGAAATACTTAGATTCACAGTCATGGGTTAAATACTTAAGTCAGAGGTAGCTAATAAGAAACAAGTGAACGGCCAACAGCTTAATAATTAATATAGCGTCTTGTGTGTTAT